TCGACTGCTTTCCCAGGCCACAAGCAGGGTGCCAGCCGGTGTGGAGTCTGGCTCAGTCTGTTACTTTTCAGGTGTTTTCATGGTCTATCCTGACAGGACTTGCCCCAAATCCCAGCACCTGCTAGCTGATGCTGCAGCAAAGCCCAACCATCCTGCACTTACTGGCTCATGCATGTACCAGTGGATAGGGTCGCTCAGCCCAGCCTGGTTCGCCCCATAACTCAGTTTACATGCAGGCCAGCGATTTTTGTAGCCCTGCCCACTTCTACTGAAATTGCTTTTGATAAGACTGCAGGTAATTGGGCCACATGATAGCATAGCAGCTTAAGTCCTCACCTTGGATGCACTGGGACCCCATGTGGGCGCGAGTTCTAATCCTGGCTGCCCTGCTTCCCGTCTAGCTCCCTGCTTGTGGCCTGGGAAAGCAATCGAGGATGGCCCAAAGCTTTGGGACCCTGCACCCCCATGGGAGACCTGGAAGAGGCTCTGGGCTCCTGACTTCAGATGGCTTTGCTCTGGCTGTTGCGGCCACTTGGGTATGAATTATCAGATGAAAGATATTCTCTCTATCTCCTTTTCTGTGTATATCTGACTTTCCAATAAAAAAAATTAATTAAAAAAAGACTGCAGGTAACCACCTAATGCTTGTGATTATTATTAATTCCTTTCCCTTTTTGCTCAGCCTTCCTTGTTCTGCAGCAGCTAATCTGCAACTGCCACGATTCTGCTTATGAATTGGGGACTTCCAAATTATAAACTCAGCTCACTGATCAAACATATGTACTGGTTTATTCTCAGCTCATTGTGCATGCATTTTTTTGGTCCTGAAAAGGTTCTTATATATTTTTTTTCCAAATAATATTTTAAAAACTTATGTAAAGGGAAAGCAGCAAATGCTGGCTTACTCCCTAGATGGCTGGTGTCACCTGGTACTTGGCCAGGATGAAGCCAGGATCCAGGAACTCCATCATGGTTTCTCCCATGTGGCCTCCCTTGTTGGGCCAGCATCCACTGGTTTCTGAGGCACAGTAGCAGAGAGCTGGATTGGAGCTCCTGGGATTTCAATCTGCTTTATGATGGCAGTGTTTCAAGAAGTGACTTAACTGGCTGTGCCACACTACCTACCCCAACCTTTCATTCTCTTTCTGTCTAAAATGAATTTTTACAGGAAGATTATAGATTAATGTATTTTTTTAATCCAGTATGTCAGTCTTTTATTTTTTAAAATTGATTTATTTTTATTGCAAAGCCATATCTATAGAGAAAAGGAGAGACAGGGAAAAAGATCTGTCTGCTGGTTCACTCCCTAAGTGGCCACAACACTAGAACTGAGCCGATGGGAAACCAGGAGCTTCTTCGGGTCTTGCATTCGGGTTCAGGTCCCTAAGCTTTGGGCTGTCTTTGACTGCATTCCCAAGCCACAAGCAGGGAGCTGGATGGGAAGTGGGGCTGCTAACATATGAAGGTTTGCCATTATTGGGATCCTGGCGTATGTTAGGCGAGCATTTTGCCACTGAGTCATGCACCAGGCCCCTAGTATGTCTGTACTTGGACATGTTAATTCATTTACAATTAAAATAATTACTGTGATAGACTTACTTTGCCATTTTCTTATTTCCTTTCTGTATATGTTAAATGTGTTTTACTCTGCAATTCCTTTATCTCTGCCTTTTTTTTTTTTAAGATTTATTTTTATTATTTTTTGATTGGAAAGGCGGATATACAGGGAGGAGAGACAGAGAGGAAGATCTTCCGTCCGATGATTCACTCCCCAAGTGAGCGCAACAGGCCGATACTATGCCGATCCGAAGCCAGGAGCCTCTTCTGGGTCTCCCACGCGGGTGCAGGTTCCCAAAGCTTTGGGCCGTCTTCGACTGCTTTCCCAGGCCACAAGCAGGGAGCTGGAAGGGAAGCGGGGCTGCCGGGATTAGAACTCGCGCCCATATGGGATCCCGGGTGTGCAAGGCGAAGACCTTTAGCCACTTGCGCCACCGTGCCGGGCCCTATCTCTGCCTTTTTATGTATCTAGTTGATTTCTAAAATTGAGTACTCTGGGACCAGTGCAATGGCACAGCATGTAAAGCTTATTGCCTGAAGTGAGCATCCAATATCAGTGCCACTTTGTATCCAATTTGCACCTCTTCTGATTCAGCCCCTGCTAATGTCTATGGAAAGTTGGATAAATGGCTCCTGGCTCCCAGCTTTGGATGGCTCCAGTACTGGCTGTAAGGGCTATTTCGAGAATGAGTCAGTGGATGGCACATCTTGCTGTTTCTCGTCCCCCCCCCCCCCAACAAATAACTAGTTTTAAAAATAAAAATACAAATTATATTTCCAGATAAACAAAAACTGAGAAAGTTCATTGACCTTAAGAAATGCTGAAAGGTTTTAAGACAGAAATGAAAGGATACTGGACAGTAATTAAAATTCATAGATGAAATAAATAACTTTGATAAAGTCAATTACACAGCTATAAAAACAGTGTTTTTGTATTTTTGATTTGTAAACCTTAATTTTATTTCTTTCCATCATTAAAAATACAAATAAGTAATTAACTCCTGTTAAAGTACATAATGTATATAAAACTGTATAATCATAAACACATAATAGAATTCCATTCAACAGTGTACCACATATACAGAAGTGGTCCATAAGATTATACCACCTAGTGATGTCATTGTCATTTTAGTTGGTCTAAGTACACTATGATGTTCTCATAATGATGAAATTGTCTAATGATGAACTGCTCAGATACTGCACTTGATCTTAGCCAAAAGGCTGAGACGTGATGATGATGAACTTCTCAGAATGTAGCCCTAATCACTGCATAATATGTAGCAGTAATCTGTGTTCATAAAAATATAAACAGGGATGGACAAAGATGTATTGGAAAAACATGTGTACTACTGAAACTATGCTAGCATTACTAAAATCAGGTTGTTATAAATTTAAGACGTTAGTTTTATAATTATCCCTAAGTGAGTCATTTCAGAAAACTTCAAAGGAAAAAATAAAGACAAAATGGACTCAAGAGGATATCATCGGGAAAATCAAGATGACAGAATAGGGTAAGGACATGTTTAGACTGAGAGAGAAACATTAGCCAATGTGAAGCAGAGAGGGCACATTCCAGGAAATAGGAGAGGACAGAACAACAGCAGAGACTGACAGACACAAGAAAGTAGCGGACACAACAGTGTGGTGTTGCAGTGACCGATACCCCAGCAGCATTCAGCAGGCAGTGATCTGAACTCCACTGGCAGCCAAAATTCCATCAGCAACCAGGTGGGAAGGAACTTTCACTGGAAGCTCAGGAGGTGAGCCCAGGCAAAGAACTACCCATCCAGCTGGTCTGTTTGATTTAATCAGGAGCAGAGACAGAGCAGCAAGTTCCAGATGGATGGTGTGGGAACAGGGTAAATTTCATAGCTCAGTCCTGCCTCTAGAGCCAAATGGGCGCCATTTTGCATAGGGAGGCAAAAGCTATGAGATAGGACTGTGCATGTACTAAGCTGGGATTGAACTCATTTCTAGCTCAGTGAACTGCAACAAAATGGCATCCTACAGGTTCCACCCAAGGTAGGTCCGAGTAACCCTCAGACTTGTTGGCCAGCAGACCAAGAACTCTAGTATTGGGCCTGGTGCGGTAGACCAGCAGCTAAAGTCCTCTCCTTGAATGTGTCCACTGGGATCCCATATGGACACCAGTTCTAATCCCAGTTGCCCTGCTTCCCATCCATCTCCCTGCTTTCGATTTGGGAAAGCAGTCAAGGATAGCCCAAAACCTTGGAACCCTGCACCCATGTGTGAGACCTAGAAGAAGCTCCTTACTCCTGGTTTCGGCTCAGCTAGCTCTGGCTGTTGCGGCAGCTTGGGGAGCGAATCATCAGATGGAAGCTCTTCCTCTCTGTCTCTCCTTCTCTCTATATCTGACTTTGCAATAAAAATAAATAAATATTTTTTAAAAAAAAGAACTCTAGTAGTGGCACATCAGGCACCATTTTGTACGGTGTGAAAAAACTTAAAGACTGCATGGACAACAGTGAGCTGCATATACCCTGAGCTGGGAGTGAACTCACTGAGCTCAGTGCATTGCAATGGTCCCACAGGGAAAATAATACCAATTTTGACATTGTGCTTGTCAAAATAGGTCTGTGTGGCCACCAGACCTTATAGCCCCACCACCAATCTAGTTATTTAGCACACCTGTTGTCTCCCTAATCCCAGTAACTGTTCTAACAGAAAGTGGGAGAAAGGTTGTATAGACCACAGTGCAGCCTCAGTAGGGTATCACAGAGGTAGAGAGTGGTGAGCCAGAAGCTGGGGCTACGGAGACCATGGTAGATGTCTAATGTAAGAACCCAGACCTGGAATTCGCTGGAGGGAGTGGCACAAGTGACTGCAAACAAAGAGCCATGTACCAACCACAGTAAGTGATTAAATCGGATTGTAGATCTGTGGGTAACACAACTTAGAACCCTGCCCCAAGGGGAAGAATCTGATAACCAGAAGTACAGTGACCAAGAGCAAAAGAAGAGACAAAGGCACAAGGAATATTACTGAAAAGTTCCCTGTGAAGTAGCAAAAGCCTTTGCTAGGCCCGGCACAGTGGCCTAGCAGCTTAAGTCCTTTTCTTGAACTTGCCAGGATCCCATATGGGTGTTGGTTCTAATCACGGCAGTCCCGCTTCCTATCCAGTTCCCTGCTTAAGGCCTGGGAAAGCAGTCGAGGATGACCCAAAGCCTTGGGACCCTGCATCTGCATGGGAGACCTGGGAGAGGCTCCTGGCTCCTGGGTTCGGATTGGCTCAGCTCCAGCCATTGCAGCCACTTGGGGAGTGAATTGGAGGACAGATCTTCCTCACTCTCTCCTCTCTGTATATCTGACTTTCCAGTAAAAATAAATCTTTGAAAAAAACCTTTGCCAGCCTCAAAGTTAACTGAGGAATACATCTAGAAAATGGGCATACAGAATTCCAAGAACTTGTTATAAAGCTTATCGTGCTCGCTTCGGCAGCACATATACTAAAATTGGAATGATACAGAGAAGATTAGCATAAAGCTTATCAACAACGAGAAGCGTGTAATACAGGAGTTCAAGAAATTTAAGGAGTATGTCACACAGGAAATAAATGAAAGCTGATATATCAGAAATGAAGAACACAGAGGAACAAATTAAAATTACAGTGGAGAGCCTCCAAAATTGAATGAAGCAGAAGAAAGAATCTCAGAATTGGAAGATATTTCCTGTCACTACCGGATAACAGACAAAAAGATCGAAGCTGAGCTGGGTCAAGCTAAAAAAAAGTATTCAAGAACTGAAAGATACTATTAAAAGACACATACAAGTTATGGGAGTCCCAGAAGGTGCAGAAAGAGAAACTGGGATTAAAGGTGTATTTAATGAAATAATAATGGAAAATTTTTCTAATCTAGAGAAAGAATTGAGAAACAACATCCAGGAGGGGCACAGAACTCCCAACAGGGTTAACTGAAAGTGATCTTCACCACAACATGTACTAATCAAGCTCTCTTCAATCAAACGTAAGGAAAAAATCTTTAAATGTGCTCGTGAAAAAAATCAATTTACATATAAAGGAATGCTAATTAAATTCATAGGAGACCTCTCACAGGAAACTCTACAGGCCAAAAGAGACTGGAGTCACATATTCCAGATTCTAGTAGCAAAAAATTGTCAGACCAGAATAATGTACCCAGCAAAATTTTCCTTTGTCTTTGAAAATGAAATAAAATTCTTCCACAGTAAAGTTAAAAGAATTTGCCTCTTCCAAACTTGCCCTACAAATGATACTTAAAGGTGTTCTCTTGACAGAGAAATAGCACCTACCAAAACCAAAAGCAAATGTGAAGAACATCCCAGTAAAACAACAACAGAAGACTTAATCAATGAACAACCCATGGCTAAAATGATAGGACTATAAATTACCACTCATTCATGTTAACACTCAATGTAAATGGCTTAAACTCATCAATGAAACAATATGGATTATTAAACTGGATTTAAAAAGCAACACTCGGGCCCGGCGCGGTGGCGCAAGTGGTTAAAGGTCCTCGCCTTGCACGCCCGGGATCCCATATGGGCGCGAGTTCTAATCCCGGCAGCCCTGCTTCCCTTCCAGCTCCCTGCCTGTGGCCTGGGAAAGCAGTCGAGGACAGCCCAAAGCTTTGGGAACCTGCACCCGCGTGGGAGACCCGGAAGAGGCTCCTGGCTTCGGATCGGCATAGTATCGGCCCGTTGCGCTCACTTGGGGAGTGAATCATCGGACGGAAGATCTTCCTCTCTGTCTCTCCTCTCTGTATATCTGCCTTTCCAATGAAAAAAATAATAAAAAAATAAATCTTTAAAAAAGAAAAAAAAAAAAAAAAAAAAAAGCAACACTCATCTATTTGTTACCTAGAGGAGACATATCTCAGCCACAAAAATCAGCAGAAGCTATATCTCTCATGGATTTAGATTTTTTTGTTTCATCTCTTCAAAACACTTTCTTCTGATTAAATTATTCAGTGACTCATAGATCATACAGAAGCATATTCTTCAAGAAGGTTCTTGATTTTCTTTTTCATTTCTTCAGCAACACATTAGTCATTCAGTAAAATATTAGTCAACTTCATGGTGTTAATTTTTTTTTTTTCTTTCTGTTGATTTTGTTTTGTGGCTTTTCATTTAAGGGGATGTATAGTAACTGTGTAATGGAGACTATCATATCCAGATGTGAGGATACAGTGCAGTATGCACCTCTATTTCCAGACAAAGCTGGACTCGTAGTGAAACTGTTAACTATATCTTGACTATAGGATACTGAACTCTTTGCCATTGTCCATGCCCACAATAATGGACATATGATTGTGTATGAAGAACTATACTATGGTAATGATATGGGGAACTTGATTGCGGGAGGAAATTTGGGGAGGGGGTAAGGGAAATCCCTGGGCCTATGGAACTGTATGGTAAAATGATAAATAAAGAATAAAAAAAGACAAAATGGTACTCTTACTTTTTAAAAAGACTACTACTTACTTGAAAGGGAGAGAGAGAGAACGAATGAGTATCTTTCATCTGATGGTTCATTCCAACAATTGCAGCAGTGTCTCAAGCTAGGTGGAAATGAAACCAGGAGCTTTTTTTGGTTCTCAGTGAGTGGAGGTGCCCAAGTGTTTGAGTCATCTTCCACTACTTTCCAAGGCACAGTAGCTGGGAGTTGGATCTGAAGTAGAACAGTTGTGTCATGAACTGTTGCACATAGGGGATGCTGGTACCACAGTTGATGGAGTAGCCTGCTATGTATGTGCCAGCCATGTAAGTTTTTAATTTTTTAATTAAAGTTTTTTGAAAGGCAGACACATAAACATACAGAAAGTACATGAGAGAAAGAAGAAATGAAGGGTGAGATGAGGGGAGAGGTATGGAGATCAAGGCAATACCATCCATCTGCTACTGCACCTCCTGCATGTTGCAGCAGCTGAGGTGGAGCAAGGCTGAAGCAGGAACTCAGAACTCAGTCCAGCTCTTTCATGTGGATGGGATGGACTTAGCTACTTCATCGCTTACCCAGTGCCTCCCCAGATGTGCAGAAAGCTGGAATTGGTTGAGCATGCAGCCAGGCCCTGAACCCAGGGCCTGTGATTTAGAATGGAGGTGTCCTGAGCATTGTCTTTATTGCACCAAATGCCTCTCTACCTTTTTTTTTTTTAATATTTATTTTCATTTATTTGAAAGGCAGACACATGCGTACACAAAAATTGTTCATCTGCTAGTTCACTCACAAAACCAGCAGGGCTGGGCTAAGTGGAAGCCTTCAACCTTGAACTCAATCTCAGTCTCCTGTGAGTGACAAGGACTCAAGTGCTTGAGTGATTCCTGATTTCTCTCAGGAGTGTACATTAACAGGAAGGTAACATCTGAAGTGGAGCTGAGAGACTTAATCGTGTTAAACCCAGTGTGGAATGTGGGTATCCCCAGTGGGACCTTACACCTTACCCCAGGTGGGAACACTCATCCCTTCTTTTAGGAGAGGTTTAATGGTTACAGAATGTTTTTTAAAGATTTGTTTGTTTGGGGGAGGGTGAAGTGCCTTTTTCTTAGTAGCTTAATGAGATTTGACCCTTCCTTCCTTTCTCTCTCTCTTTCTCTCTTTCCCCCTCCCTCTTTTCAATTTATTTGTTTTTGTTTGAAAGCCAGAGATCCTAAATCCACTAGTTCAACGTTCAAGTGGCTGTGGTGACTGGAGCTGATCCGATCCAAAGCCAGAAACCAGGAGCTTCTTCTCAGTCTTTCACGTGCAGGAGTTTCCTTTGCTGCTTTCCTAGGCCCTAAGTTGGAAAGTGGAGCAGCCAGTACTCAAACCAGCGTTCACATGGGATGCTGGTGCCGTAGATAGAGGATTAGTTTGCTAAACCATGGCCTAGCTTCCAGGAATAAAATTCTTAGTTGATAGTTTTTTTTTTTTTTTTTACTTTATGTCATCTTGCTACCTATGGTCTGAATGGTTTCTTATGAGAAGTCTGCTTATCTGTGTGCTTGATCAAACTCTTTTGCCCCTTTATAAATTTCTTCTTTTGTTTTTGGGTTTTGACAGCTTGAATACATTGTTTTTCTAGCAATTTATTTGAGTTTAATCTTTAAAATTTGTTATTTTTTAATTTTTAAAAAATTTCATTACACTTTTTTTTGCAAATGTATATTTGTGCCTTTTTAAGATTTGTAAAAATTTTGGCTATTTAGAAATTTTTTTCTGTACCTTTCTCTGTTTCCTTCTGTGACTCCTCTTATACTTGTTATTGTGTTTGGAATAAAGTCAAACAAACAAAAAGCAATGCAAGTAAGAAAAATTCAGGGGGGTTGGATGGGGGCTATTGAGAGATTTTTTGATGTCTACAAAATGATTTATAAGGGCTTTCCATGGACTATGTCACTGAACATGCAGGTATTGAGGGAGGTGAGATAAGAGTGAATCGGACTAGGGGAATCCAAACAGTTCCCCCCAGTTCCCTGGTCCCAGGCAGTGAGTGCACAGCCCCTTTGTGTGTGCATGGTAGTGGGGTAGCACTGGCCCACATGCATCTGTGATGGCATGGGGAATGTTATGCACCCCTCATCTCCACAAATCTTAAAAATAAATAGGCATCTAGGCTGGCACATTTATATAATCAATGGAGTTGGCATTAACCAGTCCCCAGAATGTCAGCTAGCTATTGGTTGCTTTCTCCTAGGTGTATAGACCTGCTTAGGTACAAGGCAAAGCTAGGCAGTTGCCTAAAGTTGGTGGCCTGACTTTCTAATGTAACAATGCAAACAGTTGAATAGCTCAGGCTAGTTTTTCATTAATCCATGTGACATTGGAGGAGTGTGTACTTTATATATACACGGTATGTAATGTTACATAAAATCAGAGATGATTTCTTACTTCATGGCATTTACCATATAGTTGGGAAAGTGACATGAATCAAATGTGTAAGATTGTGTAGCAAGGCATGATTTCCTTTAACTTCTGTCAGGGCTGTAGGTCTTTTCAAGATTTTTTTTTCAATTTGTGGGGTTCAGTGTGGGAGAAGAGGTGGGGAGAGATAGAAATAGGAGTGGAGGGCATTGGCGACAGAGAAAAGAGGCACCCATCTGTTGAGCCATTTTGTGAATGCCTTTGCAGCTGGGTATGATACAGGTGGAAGCAAAGGACTGGGTACTCAATCCAGGTCTCAGGTGGTAGCGAGCAAACTCTTAGCAACCCCTTGATATTCTTAGGGTGCACAGTAGCAGGAAGTAGAGTCAGGAGCAGGGCTGGAACTTGAATCCTTGAGAGCCAGTAGGGGTTAATGGCATCCGAGTGCTGGTGGGTGTAGAGGACAGGTTCTCTGAACCTTGGACAATGAATTGAATGAGGCTCACAGAGACATCAAGTGTAGGGAGCAGAGATTTATTATGGCAAGCAAAGTGTACTCCACACAGCTGATAGGTGCATTCCGCTGGAGAGAACTCAAAGAGTCCGAAAAACACTGAGATTTCTCCCAGGGCATAACTGGTGATACAGCAAAGTAGGGTTCACTACTTAAGCCTTTGAGAAGAACTCAGAGCCTTGCTGGTGATTTGGA